CCTAATCAACCAACATAAATCTCCCATGGGGTAAGATATTACATAAAATGTTTGAAGTGTTTACTGTAAGCCAAAAGAGCAGTTTTTAAAGCTTTTTGCTGGGCTGTGATCAACAAGCACACTAATATTAAAACCACCACAGATAAGACCCTTAGCTGGGCCATCTCACACTGACTCATTCTAAGCTAGGCATGTCACCTGCTGTTTCTGTTGCTGTTGTTGTTGTTGTTGTTGTTGTGGGTTCCCAAGTTGCTGTGAGAGCATCTTGCGTTTTTCTGCAGAGGGCCTGATTACCTTGCCTCGTCCAACACCCTTCTGCTGAGTGGTTATCTTGTTCTCCAGTTGTTTTAGATAATGCTCCTGGAATGAGGCTTGTTGTTCATCTTGCTGCTGGGGTTGTTGGTGGAGGGTGGGGGTAGCGGGTCGTAAGTTATTACGCTGAAGTCTTGGCCCTTGACCTCGGGGCAATGCTAGAGAAGTCTGGGGTGTGCCAGCACGGATCCCCAGCCCGGGTAACATGGGGGCAGCATGCTGAGGTGTGTGGGGGGAAAGCAATGGTGTGGACTGGGTCAAGGCAGGCTGTCCACCCACCTGAGCTGGGGACTGAGGGTGCATGTTGCTCATGCTTATTGGGGTTCGCACTATATGCATCAACCCTTTGTCATCTTTGATTGTCTGCAAGGAAACAATTTCCTCTTGTGGAATAAACTACTTTTAATCTTAATGGTAAGCATGCAGTTTAAGATTACAAAGTACCCTCTTACTACCAAAAAGATTATTCAATGCTTGTTATTACAATTCTATCTACAAAGCAAAGGCAACCCTTGAAAGTCCCTCTTAAATTAATCTGGGGATAAATCATAAGAACTCTAAGGGAGAATGCAGCTTGTCCGAGTTAAGCTAAATTTTCTGAATTTGAAGTGGGAAATACCATCCTCAAGACCTAAAAGTGTGTGTGTATATGTTATGGAAAACAATATTTAATGCAACAAAACTGCTATAAAATGCAGCAAAATATCAAAATAGTATTCCAAATACAGAAAAAATTGTAATGCAAAGGTTTATTTAGTCATTAAATATGTAAACATTAACATAAATATTAAAGACAAGAAGGCATCTCTATTTTCAGGAGGAGCAGGAAGGGGAGTGGGAGATAAGAAGAGAGGATAGAGAAGTAAGAGGGTAAGAGGTATAGAGGTAAGAGGTAGGGAGTGAAGGGATAGAGGAGGGAGAGGGAGAGGGAGGGAGAGGGAGGGAGGGAGGGAGAGGAGAGGGAGGGAGGAAGGGAGGGAGGGAGGGAGGGAGGGAGGAGGAGGGGAGAGGAGGGAGAGGTGGAAGAGAGGAGAGAGAGAGAGAGAGAGAGAGAGAGAGAGAGAGAGAGAGAGAGAGAGAGAGAGAGAGAGAGAGAGAGAGAGAGAGAGAGAGAGAGAGAGAGAGAGAGAGAGAGAGAGAGAGAGAGAGAGAGAGAAGGGAAAGAAAGAAAGAAAGAGATGTAAGGCTGATGTCAGCAACCCTCAGAGTATAATATCTTAAACCTTTATCAATCCTACACTCTGTACATTAACACCTTGTGTGCCATCAGTCTAACCCTCAAAAACCTAATCACCTATATTTCCTTCTCTCTCCCTTATGCTAATCATGATTAATTCCAATTCCTTGCAATTACAAAGTAATTTCTACATGTTTTCTTCTCAGTCAAGTGTGATCTTAATGAACTGTAGCTACAATTTACCTCCCACATAAACAAGCCAAAAACCACTTCCACCACAGCCAAGACCAGACGCTCAGGTGCTATGCAAACCTAAACAAATCAGCACCTTCTTACCTTAGCTCTGTATGTCATGAAGATTCCACTAAATTGCTCTTCTGCATACACATCCTCCTACATTTCTAGTGTGTTATCATAATACAAGACTATTGTCGACAGACTTCATCCATCACCCCGTCGAACATCCCTTCTTCAAGCTGTACCTTGAGACTGTTTAACTTGCACAGCAGCTCATTCATATGCTACATTTACTAAGTGGTGGCAACAGCAAGACTGAATTTCCCAACTTGTCCCTGCCTCTAAAGAAGCCTCAAAGCCAAATCTCCTTTGAAAGGACTGACATTTGGGAAGCAAATGAAAGCCCTGAACTCCCTCACCCACCCCCACCACCCACACTACACACACCATCACTATGTATGATGTCACTACCTCTCCCAGCATGCAAAGTTAGTCCCACATGTTACAAAAGCTGTATTTGATTTCTTTTAAACCTGATAGAATTACTCATATTCTATTCAGACTTCTTGTGAAGCTGGTATTTACCTCAGCCTACCCATGCAAAGGAAATGGAATCTCTTCTTCACTCCCACTCAGTGCCTGCACCCAATCACTCCCATACTTAAAACACTCATTTATTTCACCACCCTTGGCTAACCAATCCATGCATAAACACAACCGAACCTTAAGAAACTCCAACATTTCAAAACACATGGCACCCCAATTCTCCATTGCTAGACAATACAAAAAATACTGACTATATGTACAATGATTCAAAAGGGTATAAAGAATCATATAATGAGAGTATGGCATAAGGTTTATACGGAGGGGGGAGGGGAGGGGAGGAGAGGGAGAGGGGAGAGGGAGAGGGAGAGGGGAGGGAGAGGAGAGAGGGAGAAGGAGAGGGAGAGGGAGAGAGGGAGAGGGGGGAAGAGGAGTGGGAAAGGGGAAATATAAATAAAATACAAACAAAAAATGCAGGAAAACCCCTACACACAAACAGAAAACTCTTTTGAGCAAAGAAAAGACTACAAAATGGAAACAAAATTACCTGCTCTAGATAGGTGACCTGGGAGGGTTGTTGGGTCGACTGGAGGAGCTGTTGTGGCTGCACCAGTTGGTGCTGCAGCTGACCCGTTCCAACTGTCCCAGTCTGGACTATCTGAGGCTGAGTCTGTAGAGCCATCTGCTGCTGTTGTACCTGCACCTGTTGCTGCTGCTGTTGCTGTTGCACCTGTACCTGCTGTTGCACCTGTACTTGCTGCTGCTGCTGCACTTGTACCTGCTGCTGCTGCTGAACTTGTACCTGCTGCTGCTGCTGCTGCACCTGTACCTGTTGCTGCTGCTGTTGTTGGAGTCTTAACTGCTCTGGAGCAACATACTGTGTTCTGGCAAAATAAAGGAAAACAACAGAACACATTAGCTGCTTTTCCATCCCCATATGGAACCCTTATATACTGACAACACTGATATTTTTGTCTTCCAAAACAACTGGTCAGAAACTGCTGTTTATCTGACAAAGAATACTATACATCCTTTTAACAATGATTCTGCAAATACCATAAACATGGTATAAACTTACTTCAAGAGAACCTATGTAGCCTTAATGCATAAAGTTTAACCATTCAGGCATATATTTCAGCTAAAAGTCAACTTCTACAAGTAAACATAAAAATCTCAAAACACTTACCTACTAACAAGCCTTTGGCCTTGCGGTGTAATGTAATGGTGCTGAACCTGTTGTTGTTGCTGCTGCTGTTGTAATAACTGCTGCTGTTGTTGTTGCTGTTGCTGTTGTTGTTGTTGCGCTATCTGCTGTTGCTGTATGAGAACCTGTTAATGCAAAACACTCATTAGGGTTCTTGCAAGTATAAGCTGATGAAATTTAAGACCCCTTTTAAGACTTTTTCAGACTCATACCAATTGCTTTTTAAGACCTGGAGCCACTTGTCGCTGAATAAACACTTCCCATAATGAGTAGGCATACCATGTCAGAGCCCAAGATAAAAGATTCACCCCATGATTTTTACAGTCTCTAGGATAGACTGCATGCCAGATTACTATCAATATCATTTTCTTATTCTTCTTCTTATTATTATTATCACTATTGTTATCATTATTGTTAGTATTATTATTATTATTACTATCATCATCATCATCATTATATATATACACATGGTAGAAAAACCCACAATGCACAAACTAGCCTTCAATCAATATTTAATGAAAATATGGCAACAACATCTTTTGTTGATCTGATTTCACTTCTGGAAATTTATAATCTCGCTTTTTTGCTTCAGCTATTACCCTCATTCCCCAAAGTCCCATCTACCAGGATCATGGTTTGCATGCGTGGTTTCCTCATAATCATGTAAGGCTTGTCTAGGTCTAGCCAGGGCAGAAATACAATTCAGTTAAAGAGTTTAAGTTTAATTAAGACGTCTTTTGCAAGTGAATATTTTGATTCTTTGCTCTTTATGTTGAAAATTCATCTCATATATGGGAAATATATCTAGACTAGTGCATTTTTACATTTTTATTGGGTAGTAGGGAATTAAATATAGGATAACGTAGAATAACAGCCTACGGTACCTGCTGAGAATGTGTTGGAGCAACTTGGTACACCTGTTGCTGCTGCTGCTGTGAGTATACCACTCGCTGCTGTGGTGTTGTATACACAACCTGGCAAGACAAAAGATTTTTTTTTTAATTTCCTCATTCAGAGGAGCAAAGCAAGCAAAAGCGAGATTACATTTTATTCTTTTTCAGTCACACTAACCTGCTGTGGCTGGGCATAAACTACTTGCTGCTGGGGCTGCTGGGGCTGCTGCTGCTGCTGCTGACCTGAAGGTATGGTGAAGGAATAGGCCCCCTGCTCCACCAAAATGCCACCTCTGAAACACAAAAGGGTGACTCATGAAAGAGCAGTGTTCTCATCGCCACGGAAATATGTTTATGGTAGTATAAAGAAACAAGAGGCAACTTTTTGTTTGTTTTCTAAACATGAGAAGATACTATTAATGAAGTTTACTTGTTATTCATAGTGTGGGCTACATTTTGATTTAAGTCCATATTCACTAAACTGCTTTCTTTTAAAGAATTCATTCAACCATTATATACACTTCATTCAGAAAACTGCTAAAAATATATATATATTAATAATAATAAATGAATAAATAAATAAAAAGGGAGGGAAACGGGGGAGAATGGAGGAGAAGGGAAGGAAGGAAGGGGA